CCGTATAAATTAAAAATTCCACATTATCATATATATGTTTGTATATATATATATATATTATATATATTATATTATATATATATTTTTTATTATATATATATATATTTATATATAAATTTATATATATATATATATTTATTTATTTGTGCGTCACGACAATATATTTACCATTTCCCAATCGATCGCTTTGAAGAAAGGATGAGCGACAATGTTGAGAAAACCAACGGGTCTCTTTCCGCAACCCAGTCTCTCCTGAGGATCTTTGCAAAGAAATCCTTTCAGAACGGACGCCGCTTTAACGGACAACGATCGAGGTATGCGTATAGTCTTTTCTAGAATAACTTGAAACAGATAATCTTCGGTGTTCTGATCCGGATTTTCGGACGCGCCGGTTATGTCGAAAGGACTGCGTCCCGCCAGCATTTCGTACAGCAAAACTCCCAAAGCCCACCAATCTACCGAAAAACTATATTCTTCACCGCGAAGGATCTCGGGAGCGATGTAATTGGGCGTGCCGCAGAATGTGCTCGTGTTGTCGCCTTCTCGGATTCCTTCCTTGCACATTCCGTAATCGGTAAGCTTGACATGTCCGTCGTGATCGAGCAACACGTTGTCCAACTTCAAATCCCTGTATATAATTCCTGAAAATGCAAATAAATTATCAAGTTTTCATTGTTTTGAGTTCAATTGTGTAATAAACTAGGTCAGAGTCTTCCAACTGATCACGCGACCGCATAGAAATATCTTACGGCGCAAACCGCACGCCGTGCGCGAGTCAGAAGGCTCTGAACTGGGTGTCAACTTTTTCGAAAAACAAAAAAATAAATAAAATTGGTTCTACCTTTTTCGTGAAGAAAGTTTAACGCTAAACTGATCTCGGCCACGTAGAATCGCGCATGATCCTCCGGAAGACGACGCTGTCTTTGCATATGGAACATGAGATCGCCACCGCGCACAAATTCAATAACAAAGAAGAGACGCGAGGGTGTTTGAAAGCAGGAGTGAAGACCGACCAGGAAAGGATGATTCGAGGCTGTCTCGAACACATGTTTCTCCGTCTGCACCCAATCGATATCCTCGTCGTCCGTCACCAAAGCTTTCTTGATCACCTTCATAGCGTAGATCCTCTTGGTACGTTTCAACTCGACCATCAAGACCTTCGCGTAAGACCCGCGACCGATCACCCTGATCAGTTCGAAATCGTTCAATGAATATTGCCGTTGCATATCGTTTGAAGTATCGCCTTCGTTCAAAGTGTCCAACGGGAGTTCTTCTCCCTCTTCACTTCCGATTCCTACAAATTTAATTTAAATATTTGTGAAACATAAATATAACAAACAAATCTAATGCGCGCAAAGATCACGTGATATTGAAAATTTGAAATAGAAAGGAACAAAAAAGGCTCTGATAAAAAATTCATAAAAGGAAAGTCAAAGGGCCAATAAGAGGGCCTAAACACGGATGTTAGTGTGTGAAAAAAATATTAAGGATTTATTGTAAATATCGTTTGAAAAACGTAACGTTTCGATGATCCCGGGTTTGGATCATCTTCAGACAAATGCCTGTACAAATAATAAAATAAAATAAACTTTTCGAAAAGTGACAGTCGTTTTTATTTTATTATCTATTTTTTGGACTGCGTTTTGACATGTGAAGGTCTTTTGACATTTATATTGACAGCTATGTAAGTTTTTTTGTAATTAGTTGCTTCTCTTTTAATCTTTAATTTTATTTTTATATATTTTTATTTTATAATAATAATTATATAATAATTTTATAAAATAAAATTGTGTGTGACAGCTATGTAAGTTTTTTTGTAATTAGTTGCTTCTCTCTCTCTCTCTCTCTCTCTCTCTTTTAATCTTTAATTTTATTTTTATATATTTTATTTTATAATAATAATTATATAATAATTTTTATAATAATATTATATAATAATAATTATATAATAATTATATAATAATTTTTATAATAATATTATATAATAATAATTATATAATAATAAAATAAAATAAAATATATAAAAATAAAATTAAAGATTATACAAGAAGCAACTAATTACAAAAACTTACATAGCTGTCAATATAAATGTCAAAAGACCTTCACATGTCAAAACGCAGTCCAAAAAATAGATAATAAAATAAAAACGCGACTGTCACTTTTCGATGTCGAAAAGTTTATTTTATTTTATTATTTGTACAGGCATTTGTCTGAAGATGATCCAAACCCGGGATCATCGAAACGTTACGTTTTTTCAAACGATATTTACAATAAATCCTCAATATTTTTTTCACACACTAACATCCGTGTTTAGGCTCTTATTGTGGCCCTTTGACTTTCCCTTTTATTGAAAATTTTCTTACGATCGCGCGAATGCTCCTCGATGATTGGCGACTCCGTGATCTCATCCTCGAGATGAATCGTTTGGCCGCACGAATACGAATCAAGCTGTTGGTCGTCGTTCCTGTCGATCGTCTGCGCCTCCGTGCTCTGTTGCTGCTGTTGCTGTTGCTGCAAACTCAGACAAGGTTTGTGCACCACCTTGTGACATTTTTTGTGCACGAGCAGTTTGCACTGAATGCATTTGAACCCCTGCCGCCCGAGTCCCCAGATCCGATCCTGGCAGAACGCGCAAAAGGCTCTCTGCGAAGCAATCGGGCAGAGTGTATTACATCACTTCCTAAATTTTTGAAAGGAAATTTTGTTGTGTTGAGTTTCATTAAAAAAAAAAAAAATGAAAGTTTTGCGTTTTAAAAGCCTTTGCGAGGAGGCGCGCAGCGATATTATTATTATTTATACGCGACGATGCAACCGGATGCCAAGCTCTTCGAGTAACTTCCGAATTCAAACGTTGAAGAGTTCATTTGATGCGCGACGCGACTATCGCAGCCGCAATATATCGCCATGAATAATATCGTGAAATATTTCTCAAGATCCAAAAAGTCCCCCCCCCCCAAAAAGATAAATGAAATCAAGTATTTAAGGACGTTCTCCGAATTATTCGATTTTCCTAGGATTTTCTTTAAATTTGCGATATACATACACCGAAAAAAATTGTATTCTTGTTTTGAGGATATCCCACTTACTTTAAGTATATTTTATACTAAAATAGGCGCCAAGAAGAGTTTCTTATTTTAAGAGGAAAATCCTCTAAATAGTAATATTGATACACGGAAAAAAAAGATTTGCTAAAGTAGCAAGAAATTAGTTACTATATGGCCAGCAAAAAAACATTTGTTAAGTTTATCAAAAGTTTTGTTTCGCCAACAAAACATTTCGTTGATGAAACAAAAAATTTCGTAGAGGCAACCATTTTTCTTGCTAACCATATAATAGCAAAACTTTTTTTTCCGTGTAA